CCCCAAAACCCCAAAACCCCAAAACCCCACTTGCGAATGTTTTTGTCATGAAATTAAGCATTTATAATCATTCATATTTATGCTCCTGTATATTTATATTTTGCTAATCAAATTATCAAAGCTGAATGTTGTGCTTTACATTCATTATATGCGTTTCAATCAAATCATAGAGTTTTTAGGACTCTGAATGCTTCAGCAGAGACTTCAAAGACTACTTTGGTTTACTATTACCAAACATTTAAGAAGACTTCCTTCTACTAGTCTGAGGCTCCAGTTTCAATAGTTCTCTTGCCCTTGCTGTTTAAAACTCACTATTTTTACTTGTTCTCTCTCTATTAGTCATGAACCCACTTTTAATCCTTATTTTTGGCATTGGTTTCTGTTTATCGTCCTCTTAGGGAGATGTCACTGTAGAATTTGTTTTTATGTTGAGTTATTTCTCTTTTTCTTTATTCTTATCCTTTGATTGTGAAGTAACCATTGGACTGGTCCTGCCTGTTGACCCAATTTATATAATATTTACTCTTCTCGATTTTGACCTAGAAGTAAGTGAATTATTCCTTATTATCTTTAACAAACTCTCGCCTAAATAGAACTAAGTCTTAAGAGTACTTGAGTTACCACCCTCTTCACGTTTATACCTAGCTATTCTTTCTATAATTATTTCATTTTATTATTTAACATTAGGTATCAGAGGTATCCACTCCTCAAGTAAGCCGTCACAGGCACAATACTCATTAGGCGGAATATAAAGTCCATTAATCTGATCATGCATAGTAAGTTGTATAGCCTTTACATCGACTGGCTCTGTGCCAGCATCCCAGCAGAGAGCGCATCTAAGATAGCCAATAAACTTATCAAAAGTAACCAGTTAGTAAAATTGCTTTTAATTTACTAGCGGACTTTTGAAATCATTCAAGTTAAGATTGACCCCTCCAATGATTTTGCCTAGAGAGGGTACTCTAAAGTCAATCCTAAGTTTCCTAATCAAATTCAAAAATTCAATTGATTTTTCAGGCTCATCTACAAAAAAGTGAAATAACTACATCTTGTTAATTGGAACCAGCTCAATGTTGCAGTTAAATGATTATCCAATGTTAAGTTTAGTCTTAAAATCCTTTCCAAGAAAGCTGTATTCAAGTTAAAGTTCTTTATGATAGTTTTTCGGAATGGGGGATATCTCACATAGATCATAGATAATCACAAGTAATTTATACCTGTAGAGATCAGGTATTTTCATTATCTCTTAAGCATTTTTCTGTTTGGCTTAACCTATTCCAAAAGATGGAGGCTATGAAAAATGCTTTTCTATTATATAGTCGATCATCTTCTCCTGATTGAGAGTTTCATTTTTTATAATGGGTATTCCAGAGTCCTACTCTTTCACTTGAATTCCAAAGACTCTAGCGAACTACTAATGAACGATCTTGAGCTTTTAAACTTAGTCATGCAATGAGTAGCAATCCTTACATACTGAGAAGGATTGATACAAGACAAAAGGATCGATAAAGCTTGAGTCAGCATGAGTAAGCCATTCCTTATTGAATCCAATATCTTTTATATATTTCTCAGTATTAATAATTTGCTGCATCGACAACTTGTATCTTAGGGCTGATAGAGAGAATCCAAGTTGACAAAACTTGCAAATTCTCATCTTTTATGAGAGATCTTTCTCATCACTATCATTATATTGATTTTTTAAGTTTTACTCTTCATCTTCGCCAGAAGATTAGTATGATTCTTCTGCAATACCAATATAGGGCTTAATGGTAAGTTTAACATTCGAATGAGCTAAAACAAAAGCCTTAACACCAAGGAACCACCAAATGCCAGATTCGTCCCTGTTTAATGGATTATAAATCATAAGACTTACTTTATATAATCTGCTACAAGTTCTGTGAATCTTGCCCCTATATTAGCCTCGACATATCTTTGGATGTTTTCAGTCATCAACACTGGTTCTTAGTAGTTTGAGTTACCTTTTGAGACTATTATACTGCAGGCGAATCTCTACTGTTAATTAGTCACGAATCTTTCATACTCAGTGAATTGCTTTCCATCCTCGTTTTCCCTGTCTTTGAACTACTGCTTATTCGTGATGATATAGCAATTGGCAGCTTTACCTTTTTTCCAGTGTGCCCTGCAAATGAAGGCGTTCCCTCCCTTACACTTGATGAATCTCTGAATCACCATATTATCAGACTCACTTTTCTTGTTTGCAATTCTAATCGCCAGTTCCTTGGTGCTTTACAACAATACTTAATTGCCATTAGATCTGCCGCTGTCATCAAAGTCCTCAAACTTCAGGATGGCTGAGAGCTCACTCAGCATGTATTTTGATCCGAGCTTTGATACGATTGTCTTATCACTAAATTTATCTGATCTGTATACCAAACCATCAAACCCTGAGTATATCCAGAAAGGATCCAATGCAGCTTGGTACACAATTGTGTCTGGAATCCACAGTTTCAATAAACTGAACTTGTTCTGTTCTTTGTTGGGATCTACGATCTTCTTGGCAAGGAATTTGTAAAAATGAATGCCTGGCTGTAAATGTGGGTGAGGAGAAGTATACTTAGGATCCTTGAATTTAATCTTTTCCATGAGTTTATCATAAGACTTAATTTCATGCTCTTGAGCTTCAGTCAGCTGTCTCTTCCTTAAATTCATAAGTTTTCTTTCTTCATTGGAATAAACATCTCCCTCAATTTGCTAGTTTAAGAAGCCCATCTATATATGTAAATTAGCTGAGAGTGAATTGAATTGTAAAAATACATACAGGTTTGGTTCCTCTCTGATAATCGTTTTTAGAATAAATAGTTTGCTCTGGTACATATTGCTTAGATGGAATTTTATTAAGCTCTTTCATTTTGAAAATTTTAAACAATAATTTAGAAATATTAATTGCTTTAATGAAGAATATAATGTGTTACGGGGTTTTGGGGTTTTGGGGTTTTGGGGTTTTGGGG